AGAACACCTCATCAACCTCAAGATCTACGCCCAATCCTACCTCTTCATCGGCGTCATGGAAACCATCATCGCCCACTCCATGTTCTTCCTGTACATGTACAAGAAAGCAGGCATCCCCTTCCACGCCCTCATCTTCGCCTTCGAGTCCTACTCCGACGGCTTCTACGGCTACTCCGCCGAGCAGCTCACCCACTTCAACAACGTCGGCCAGGGCGTCTACTTCGTCACCCTCGTCATGCTCCAATGGGGCAACATCCTTTCCGTCCGCAACAAGCGCCTCTCCATCCTCACCGCGGACCCGGTCCGCAAGCAGCGCCGCAACCCCTGGCTGCCCCTCGCCATGCTTGTCTCCCTCGTCATCGCCATTTTTGTTACCGAGGTCCCGGGCTTCCATACCCTGTTCGACACCGCCCCCGTCCCCATTGAGTTCTGGTTCATCCCGTTGCCCTTGGCCCTGGGCATTCTGTTCATGGATGAGTTGAGGAAGCTGCTTGTTCGCGCGTTTCCGAGAGGTATTATTTCGAAGATTTCGTGGTGATTAAACAGGACTTCAACGAATCTCTTTACATACCTCTTACGCTAGCCTGGTGCAGTCCAGAGATATGACGACCAATGACATTTATAGACTTTTTGTTGAGAAATCTAATGATCCAGCAAGGACTACTTTTCATAGAAGTAGTGTGTTATTAACGATGGACAACACATTCAAGAACACCAAGTGTAGAAAAAAGAGTTGCACGAGTAAAGCCTGTCATCACTGCGATGCATAGCCACACTAAAGTGCAACTACTCATTTGCCAACTGCAGCCACTGCTATCTAGCCAACTACTCTAAGACCTCAGAAGTAACACCAAGACACGGCCAACATGCTGGCCACAAGAAGGGAACTAAGATTAAGTTGTGGTTTGCCAGAACCACTGTGTGAATATATCCAACGAAGGAGAAGAAGAGAAGAAACACACAAAAAAGCTGTACAACGAATGATTGCTGATACATGAATTGACCTAGGTCAATCCCATCAACAGCTGCGCCTAATCCCGCACCTTACCCGCCTCTCGGACCTCGTTCATGAACCCATCTTCGTCCCCTGCGGTGGTGAGTATCCAGTAATCACCAGCCACGGCATTGACGGACTGAGAACCACCGAAACCAGTCACAGGGGCAGCCGGAGCGCTGTGACGCGCGGCGGGTTTGTTGCTCCCGGTGTGGTGAGGGCCCCATCCGAGAATGTCCTTCACAGCGGCACGACCCTGGTCGTCCGGCTGCGTAAATGCAAACAATTGCGGCTGCAAGCAACCGAGAATCGCGACCGCGGCGCGAATCAGAATACGATCTCCTTCAAACACCCAGCAGTCCCAGACGCGACTGACGCGCTCCAAATCTAGCCCATTCGTAAGGAGAGAGCGGAACATCGGTTCCCAGATTTCCTCGTCGCTGAGACGCAGAGTCTCGTAGAGATGAGTCGCCAGGCGAGGGAACTTGTAGCGGAGCGTCGCAGACACCAATGAATACGTACGACCGATGGCTCCGCGGTCCAGCGTGAGAAATGCGACAGGAAGAGGCCGGTTCAGTGCATTGGCCATGGCAAGGAAGGCGGAAGATGGCGATGGGAACTGAAGAACCAGAAGAGCGGCGATCGTCTGTACCACGGTTAGGAGAAATGAAACCAGATCAAGACTCTGGATGGGTCAGCTTACATGGAGACCACTGACGTATCCCACATCGCTTCGATACATCGAGTATGCCTCAAGCACATCGATCAAAGTATCGCGCAGTGGGCCGCCCACCTGGAAGAGTTTCAGGTCCGGAAACGCTTTCGACACGTCCGTCTCAATTGTATCGAACCATTCCTTCATCCGCTTATGACTTTCGCCCGCCTCACCGTGAAATTTGGAGCGAACGTCTTTGGCCCTTTGCAAGGCCTTCTTGTATGTTTCTTCCGATAGGGATAGTTCATTGCCGATGGCGCGCTGCCAGATCGCGCCCCGATGACGGGGCGGCACACCGCGCCACCACAATTCCCGCGTACGGGTTTCACCGATAGCGCGGTCCCAGTTGGGAAACACGTACTCATCCCATATACGCTTGAGAGCTTCCCGCGTATTATCCTTTTCGCATTTGGCCGAAGCGGCTTTGGCAGCTCTGCGCTTGTCTATAGGGTGTGAATAATGAAGACCGCTGAATGCCGAAAACGAAGAAATGGACTAACCTGCTTCGCGCGACATTGCCATCATTTTCTTGTATTCCTTCAGATGCCTCTTCTCTTCCTTCTGGTCCTTGGGGGGAAGCCAGCTAGGCCGCGTACGCGTAAGGACCTTTTCCTTCTCCTTGCTGATGGGCAACGGATCGATCATGATATTGGACTTTTGCACTGGAGGCAGTTCAATGGTGGCTTTGGAGTCGCGTTTCGATTCGGTGCTGGACCGTAGTGAGGAGATACCGTTCTGGAGGTTCTCTGCACGTTTGCGATCGCGTTCGTCGGCATGATATTCCAGAGCTTGAGTGATGATCTTCGCCTCCTCCGACAAATCTGACAACATTGTGTTGTACGAGTAAATGCGGGGATTGCGAGGCGAAATCTGTCCTCGCTCAGGACCAGCGGAGCTTGAGCGCACCATCCGTCGGCCCGACCGAGATCCCCTGGGGGATTTCGCAACCGTAGAAGACAAAACAGACATGTCCGAGACAGAATGCGACAACGGAAGCGGGAGCGGGCCTGGACTTCGGCCATCCGGACTGGTAGCTCGGGACGGAGCGCGATCCTGCACCGGCCGCGGAGAAATAGGGACGTTCCACAAGCTCGTATCATCTGGCAGCTCCTCATCGGAGTCATGGTATTCCTCCTCCAGCTCTCTAAGGGATTTGCGGCTTCGCTGCCACGAACTCTTGTGATTGAGCGGGGGTCGGCCGCTGACGGGCGAAACAGCCAAGGTCTGAGCGGAGGGAGATGAACCCAGATTAGAGGCCATTCGGAGCGGGGAATTGGATCTTGAACGATGGGATGTGGAAGATTGGATCGGTAGCGTATGAGTACTGCTCGCACTTCGCTGATTGCCCGACCTAAGCTTGGAGCTGCTGTGCTTCGGTTTCGTCAACGCCCCATTGACATGGCCCTTGAGCGATGGATACGGAGTCCTGGTGGGTTTGACCGTCGACGTCAAGTCGCGAGTCGTAGTTGCCGGAGTTTTGGGGTGCAACCTGGCCGTCGACGAGCGAACCAGGACCCCCGACTTTCCATAAGCAGTAGTAACACCATCCATGTAGGGCAACTCCGGGTCATCCTCCAGACCGATTTCTTCGAAATTGGAAATGTCGGCGAGAATACCGTCGGGACCGGACAGCTGCGAAGAGGACCGGAAGGACGAAGATTTAGAGGACTTGGATCCCGATAGTTCGGGCGGGGAATTGGGTGTCGTGCAAATGGTCGTCATCTCATATACCGCATATACCGAATTGATCGAACTGATGTACGGGCGTAGCAAGAGCTAGGTCGGACGCAAGACGCAAGTCAAACCAAAGAAAGGAATTGCCGTAAATGAAAGTGGTAACCGGCCCAAACGAAGGGAAAAAAAAAATTTAAAATGAAGCTGATAAAAACGGACGGCCGCACAGGCTATCTTTATCCCCTGGTTCTGCAGTGACTCCTGAAACAAGCCCAGCCGACAATGATTCTAGAACGGCGGCAATATCCGGGGAACAAGGGCACCGTCAAGAGAAGGGGGAGCAATTCAACAAGGGGATTATTAATTGCTCACGATAGGGGTTGGTATTTAGGAGGAGGATCAGCTGAACGAGAGGTGAATAGTATTTCGATGAGAAGATAAGAAAAGAGGTATAACGAGGGATCGGAGAATTCAAGCGAAGGACGGAGACAGAGAAAAGAAAAGAGAAGGAAAAGAAAGGAAAAAAGTAAGAAAAATGAGGCAAACGAAGGATGCTAAGAGATGCTATGATACGATGATGATGATGATGATGATGATGAGAGATGGGATGGGGGAGGGGATAGACGAGACGGGAAATGAAGGAGATGCTCCTCTTAGGGGAGAAGCGGAAACAGTCTAGCCTCCTCCTTCCTTCGCAAGTCACATACCGCAAACAGGGTGCCTGAGTCCTGAGGCCGACGTTCCATTGACACTAGGAAATCTTGAATTCGGGTCTGGCCAATTGCAAACAGCAAGAAAAACTGGCAATAGCGGCCTAAATGGTTGATCCTTGACTTTTTCGGAAGACACTTTATTCATCCATTGCAGTGAATGGGCCAAACTAGTACGGAGAAGGTTAGAAAACGGCCAAAGTGGCCTACAGAGTGAGTATCCTCCGTACCTGTCCCACGTTTCAACTTTCATTATTATCAACACACCAGTAAAGTACTAAGTGATACCTTATACACACGCACTTAAGTCAATTCCCCATAGTAGAAGATAATGCCATCATCAAGGCCACCAAGCTTAAAGATTCTGTCTCCGTAGAATGCAAGTTGGATAAACGAGTCTCCTGGCACTGCTTGTTGACATTTTACTCTTCTCAGCGACCACAACATACCACTCACGAGTACCTGGAAGTACTTGATTTGCCTCCCCCTTTAGCTGATTGCCTTGACCCAGTCATGTCCCATCATTTGCATCCCACTTCAGGTTTTCCGTGGTATGTGAGCTTGGAACGAACCATGGAGTAGTTCGCCAGAGAACCAAGGCACTGTATATCCGCTATTTCCGCTGCTCATTTGTTGGCTGTTGCGCATCAACAAAAAGCAAAAATAAAGCCACAAGTACTCAGTACAGTGTAGATAGTCGCCCAACTACTACCGGGACAAAGTTACTTTGTTGTCCAAGTCTAATTGGCACTATTTCTTGATTTTTGCCCTTGTTTGCCGCGACGAATTATAATGAGCTCGATTACATCATTTTCCTCGAATTATGAAGTCCCCGACTTACCGCGGACGAGCAAGGGATCCCCAATAATGACCTGCAGAATCAAACCATGGTTAAATAGCCAGTTACTCAGAACCGCCAACTGGCAAAAACAGAGTTGCCATTTCGAACAACCTGAGCCAGCCGAGCTGCCTTTCCATCGGATTGCGGCCGCGCTGCTTTCCACACCTGCTCCAACCACCGCAGTACCTTTGCGTACTTGGTCTGTTTCCGGCCTAGGACAAACCGGAACGCTGCTGCGGCGAGGTATTGGACCTGTTGCTGCTGTACGAGGCACATATATGGCGAACAAGAATCCCTCGACTTGAGCTCCCGTCGGGCGCGCATCATGCGATGAGCGAGTTCGATCAGATCCTGGATGACTCGGATTACCACGTCTGGAGTGGGATGCGCCCGATGAGGCAGAGCCTTCATGTATCGGTACATCTTCATCGCCGAGGTCACCAGATTTGCGTACAGATTCCAGAGCACCACGTTGAGCGAGTTGTGCTTCGTATCTAGGTACATCGGATGCATCTGGAGCTTGAATGACGAAAGAACTTTTCTGTGAAGAGAACGACCGGGGGCTCGTGTGGACTCTACTGTGAGCGAGCTGGAGATTGTGGCAGCGGCCGAGTCTGTCCCCTCGAGGATACGGTCTTGGTCCCTGTATATCTCCAAAGTCCGGGTGTCGATCAGACTTCCACAGTAAGGGAACAAGTGACTGCCCTCAAGCCGAGGGATTTGTACCCCGTCTACCGCTGCTGAGAAATTGACAAGGCTCTTGGCCGGATTGATGGATATGCCGTACTTGGGTTGTCCCTTAAGCATCACCTGCAGAAAACGCATCGCCAAGTTCGAGTTGGTCGTGATAAGCAGAAAATCATCCACTAACCGGAGGAGAACGGCTTCACTGGGATCCAGAAAACCTAGAGATTCCCGCTCCATTTGAGCATAGAACAAGTTGCACAGAACACTAGATAGTATCGAGCCCTGAGGGATGCCGTTCCGCTGGCGGAAATACTTCCTCCCAACCTTCACCAAGTTGTAGCGAATGTGCTCATCAAGTAGGTCCAGTAGATAGTCGCCAGAATACTCCTTGTGAGCCGGCGTATCAACGAAGACGGTGTTTCTCCTGTGGCTGATGCCACCATCGGTAATGGCGTCAGTCAGATCCTGCGCTCTCGACACGGGCGCTGCTCTGCCAACGTATTTGCGTAGAGCCTTGCTCTGTTGGGACTCTTGTACCGGCCACATGCTGCTGAACTCGTCTGGCGGCCGAACTTCCACATGTTTCCCGATCTGGTAGCCTTCTTCGGAAAACAGGCTTTCAATCAGAGGAATAAGTTCCTCTTGAGGAATAGTGTCAAAGCAAGACTGAATGTCAAGCTTGACAAAATAAAGTGGTTGCCGCCGATCACTCGAGTGACTCTGAGATAGACGCTCCTTGAAGCTCTTGAGACGAGTGTGTATTTCGCCGACAAAAGACAGGGTAGAACCCAGACTCGCAGGGTTACGTGCCTTCTCATAGTTCAAGACATTGAATATCGGTGTGATGGTGGAGTTGATGCTCGGGCCCAGGAACGGAGCCTTGCCAGCCCATCCTGGCTGGAGCATTCGTCGTCGAAGGTTCAGAATCGGCCGGACGCCTGTTGTCTTTGGCAACAGCCGCAGAGAGCTATAGCCCAGGGACCTTCCACCCAACCTCCGCTCAGCATCAGCTCGTTTCATCTCTTCAAAAAGAGTCGCCTTGAAAGTTGCCAATGGCTGTAGAGTTAAGTGGCGCCACACGTCATGTCGAAAGTAGAATAGCTGGTTGCGGTAGATTTGTGATTCGGTGACATAGAAGTTGGAACGAATCAATGGTACCAAGATGGAATCGAATATGTAGTAGATGAACTCGTGGAGAAGCTCCGTCCGTTTGTGCAGGTCGGATAATGAAAGCTTCCTTCCCGGTAGGGACTCTTGATGCTCAAGCCATGGTATACTAGTGATCTAAATCATGTCAGCAGCCGTTTGAATCAACGTCAAGAGTAGACAAACCTTGATTCCTTTGCAAACCTCGTGAAGACTCAAACTCTCAAACCTTCGCATGCGGATGAATCTATCAACATGGCTAAATACGATCTCTTGGTTGCTTTTCTGATATTGGCCAATTCCATAAAACTGTGGGGGGATCAACTTTCGCAGTACTGCCCGGCAGAATGCCGATACAGACGAAGAAGGCGTCGCATAGTCCATCAGACTCTGTTTCGGTTCTGGGATTACGCACTTGGTAATTCCTTTTTCTGTATCGTGGATCGAATTCCTTGTCCGTAGGCTTTCTTTGGGGCCCATATCTCTGGCTGCATGTTGCTGAGCGCCTCGTGGTTGAGTTACCAGCTGGTCCGACGCCGTACAAGATCCTTTGCCCGTCGACCCTTCTTGAGAATTGGTATGACCGAGTTTCCAAGGCCCAACATCCTGAGCTATCAGCACATGCACCTGCTTCGCGGAAACATTGACATACCTCTATCGGACAGTAGTAGTCCAAGAGTTTCACGTATGGACAACGCCTGTTTCGATTCTGCAGCTGCTGCACCAATTCAACGGCCTTCCCGCGAAGCCGCTTCGGTATTTCGATAAGATCATTATGCTTTTCAAAATGATTCGTGAACCCGGGACCAATGCGTTGGCGGCGTTTGCGTTTCTGTTCGTCAATCTGCGCTATCTCGGTCTCTCTGGAGAAGTAATCTTTGAATGGCAAGACAGTTTCACGACTATCAGTGACAGAGGTGAAAACGTTATGCAGACCATATTGTCTAGGGAAGATATACTTCAGTATGTGCACCGTCTCAGACAATGAGTCCGATCGAGGGTAGCAATTCAGTACGTCTGAAGCTCGTTAGTTTCGGAAGTGAACAAGTATCTCTAGCACCTACGAAGACGTGTCAAGCCAAAATGGACGTCGCCTTTCGAGTTAAGCACCGGTTTCGCGTAGAGCATGCGCCGTCGAAAGAAGACAATACTGTTCGGCTTGTGTACAACCTCTTGGCGTACACTCTTTCTTTTTTTGAGGCCAGAACAAAATCCGCCAGTGCTGTTCGCTGTATGAATGGAAGCTCCGCTGAGATCAGAAACTTCCTGAGGCAGCTCTCTTTTGACGGGTTCCAGGCTCGACAGTGGAAGACCTGTTTGTCACGTCATCTCTGAGTGCTTCTCCCAAAGGTACGGCCGGCTGGCAGGACTCACCACTAATCTGGTAGTATATCCCTTTCCGATGGTCAATGGCTGTGAATATACCGCAATCGAGCAAGAGCCTCAGCATGATCTCTTCTCCGTTGCCTCCCAGGAGAGCAAGGACGTTCGTCCACGGCTCGTGTTTCAGCGTCTCCACGTTTCTATTGGGAAATCGCACTACGAGACCCGGGATACTGCTTGTTGGAGCTGCATGATTATCCGTCATCCGTTCTGGTGCACCCACCCGCTGATAACCGTGAGCCAGCAAGTGCTGAGGTCTGTGATACGAAAAGCCATTGCGATTGAAGAGTGAGGTTATGACAAAGTCAACGATCTGCGCTATGGTCAGCATCTACGGGCATGAAGAAGACAACCATGGTCGAGTGCTCCATGCGTGCTGAATGCCCCAAAGGCTATACCGACGTGGTTTGAAGAAATAACGCTGTCTCTCATAGCTTACCTCTGACTGTGGACAGGGTGGCCCAGTGTCCGTACTGGTGAGCTCCGACCTGCATTGAGACTGGGTTTGGGAGTAAGCGGCAAACTCTCGCCGTCGCTCCTGAGTCACTGCGGGCGAGGTTTCGTTCAACACTCCCACAAGTGTGGTATCGAGAACGCTGGCAAGATCTTGGACCTGCCGTTCTCCAGAGCTGTCATCCCCCTGGCTTTGAGTGAGCGGATCACTCCGTATCGACGCGATCCTCCTCCGGCGGGACTTGGACGTTACGGGGATCTGTTGTAGGAGGTACTGCCTCAGAGTCACAACTTGGCGGTAGTACAGGGAGATGACAGGATGGGAATGTCCATCTTTCTCCTTTCTGGCTGAAGCTCCGTGGTTTCTGGAACCACCGGAGGTGCTGATGATGCGCCTGGGGGCTGAGTTGTCGGCTGTACAGCCATCTTTGATGGGCCTTTTTCTTTTTTTACCCATAGCAGCTCTCAGATAGACAATTACAAGCCATCTACAGTGGTGAGTTAACTCCTCGGGAGACGCGACCGGAAACGCGTCAACGCGACTACAGAAAGACAATGCCTACGTCAGGTGATACAGCCGAACAGATCAGCTGAAGTACTTGATTAATCAATTCTTACGCAGAATGAAGATAAAGCGAAGATGAATGAGTTGCAATACTTTTTAGAGAGATACTTATCACGGCCGTTGTTCATACAGTTTTATACGGATTGATGCTTCCATCTGGGAGGAAATTAGCTTGGGGCTGTTTGGTATTTGATTTCGGAGTAAATTCCACTGAGGAGCCGGCCTTGCAGGCTCCGAGTTTGAGGGCAGACTATTCTTGCCCAACAATGTCTCAATAGATCAAGCATGCTTGAAGTTGGTTGCATCGCACCAGTCGCGCAATTAACCTAAGGTAGAGATGAATCACACAAAAGTCAAAACACCCTGGGGAGCGGATGCAGAATGCAACCTCCGGCGGCCCGACGGGAAGTTAGAAATACATCGTCTGCCTTGGATGTGTGGTTGTGATACCCCATAGCTTGTATATAAGTTAAATCCTTAGCTTTACGAATATTTGATACTTCATTTCATATGCCCCTGATAACAGCATCGCTGACCATGAAACTAAGATGACCACTTACGTATGTGTTAGTCAAGTGCAATACGGAGTAACCACAGTCGACGAGGTGAGATCATCGTTGTAACCAGTACCCTAGTGGCTCAGGCTGCAATCTCGCACAGACAAGGATGAAAAATCGAGCCAGATCCCTGGAACGATGGTGGTCTAGAAAAGTCGCAGACTCGCAACACTAACCGATTCTCGGATTAGGATGGTTGTAAATAATTGCGTCTCCACTCTCCATCCCTCTGGCCCTCATAATTTGCTACTGAAGATTTCGAGACGGCAATGAAACCCTGGTACGGACGACGGCCCCTGGACAGAGTGGAAATGATAGACCGTCCGTACCTGAATCCACAAATGTTGATCACGTCGGAGGCTTGAGGGACAAAACAAGCCACATTCTCAGCTGCAAGGGCATTGTTATTTAACTAATTCGTGTCGGGATAACAGGGCAATCGGTGTAATTAGGGAATGACACAAAGGAGGAAGGCAGCCAGATAAGGTAGTCATGTACATACAACGAAGCAAGCAAATGACCCTTGGGAATTGTCCAGTAAGGATGTTACACGACAATGGAATGGGACCTAGGTACCTAAGTAGGTAAGGTATCTATCCACTGTAGGTCTATCTGAATATTTCACAGGCCGTGGCAGCCTATGGAAAACACAAGGGCTTGGTTTGACAGTTGACAGTTGACATTTGACGGTTGACAGATGCAGATGCAGGCTATATCAATGTAGTGAAGTGAGCATGGAGATCAGAGGCACTGGCTCTCAGGCTTCTCAAGTAATCTGCGCAAGCTTCTGCTGGTGACCAGGTGCCGACTATTGATTCTACGGTCTAAGCGGCTCGTAGATCGCGAGGTGGTGCAATAATAAATATACTTACATAGCCAGCTGGATCACTAGGTCTCCCCAATAATAAGTAAAGGGAGTTTCTCACTCTGGGTCGGCCATCGTAATAATGCTAAGGTAAACATGACGAAACACTGGAGTCGCTCTGCGCTCAGTACATAGTTAGTACTCCAGCTACCAAGGGGTTCCTCTGTACTAAATATCCCAGAAGCTGGGACTATGCTATTTTGCTACTTTTTCTATGACGACCATCCCATCTTCCAAGGTCCTAGCCTGTAACTCTGGGTGGAAATCGACTCCGTCACAATTGGCCAGGAACAGAAAGAAAGGAGCAAAGTTCTTCCATCAAAGGATGCAGAGTTACAGGTTACGTACTCCGTGCCTAGCAGTCCCGCAAGCGAGATTTGTGGACCCTGTCGGGAAAACGGCTCTAAAATGATACATCCACAACGCACTGCAAATAAGTATAGTTACCTGTAGACGCGATGAGTCAGAATCTGCTCCTGATTCCTAAGTAGACAGAGCAGGAGACTTAGTATCAGAAGTATTTGACATTGCTCCATTACACGGAATGCTTCCAGTCCTTAGGCCTTACAACTGTCAGAGATGCGGATCATAATCTATCTAGCCTCAGTGTCAACATTCGTTACTCGTTAGTATCTCGATATGATCTAGTGGGATCGCCTAAGTTCAAGCAGTCCAACACTAACAAGGACGATCGATCAGGATCTGAGATGACTTCTCCTCAGTATCACAATCTAGCAATATCATAGTCTATCATATTAACTTGCATGCTCATAAATATTGTACTATGTAAGCTGCACATGTGAAATACATATAGTGTACCGTTGTGTCCATTTAAAAAATATCTACAGTGTATATTGATACCTGGACTATTTATTGGCAATAATGAACCAAGTTATCAACCCAGTGACCCCACTTTGTTTGCGCGATCGTTTTCTAGCTTTCTTGACTAGGTAGAAATAGTAATGCATTTTCTATTTTGTTTCCTTTCAAGGACCAAGGATCAAGGAGACGCGGACCACTCTTTTTAAACAAAATCTGAGGAACTAGACCGTTTCCTCAGGATGACAACCAACGAAAGAAACTGAAACTGTCGGGATTCATATTCCAACAATAATAAGTAGAGGAATCCTCAAGAAATTTAGCACAAAGAAGTGACCCATTACTCTTGCTCAATAATAACATCTCTGCGCCCCGAGAACTTGTTTCGGATCCCCAATCAGCATCAGCAGTCCAGCACGCAACACTAAACACAGATTCGATCTGTAGGTAAGTGAGGCGCTTTACAGACCACTATTTAAGTCTTTGCTCCATATTGCTCAAAGCCCCAGCAAATCCCATGCAGTTATTGGCTCCCTTCTCGTCTCAGCATTTTCCATCTAGATAAAGACGACTTGATATAGAATCTACAGTCTTGCTTTCATGGTTGATCGATCGCTGTTTTCCAACAAACTGATAGGATCGACTTGAAGAGTTTGACTTATTAGACACTATCGTCATTATAGTCTGTTGAGACTATCTGCATTGCTTATCGCTGTCTTCTTGTCCTACACCCAGCTTCCCTGTCGATTCGGTCCTTTTGTTTCTATTATTATTACTACCACCTTCTCCTACTACTCCATTATTATTATTATTATTATCATTATTTATTTTCGCGCTGCCACTTGGATCTCAACAACCCCTCTCGGCCCGCCTGTGACCACCACTCTTTCTTCCCTGTTCGTCTAGACGCCGTGCAAACAGCCCCCCAGCTCCGCATCTGACTTATCGGCAATAGTCCTGCTTGCTCGTCTTTTCATCCTAACCGCAGCCTGGTCTTCCTTCGCTCATCATCGAACCTGCAGTTCCCTTCCGCTTTCTTCGCCTTCGTTAACCGTCATTCGTTTTCTGCTCTCTCCCGACTCCTACCCATCGCTCCCATTTGAACAGTCATCCTCTTGTTTCTCGGGGTTGGATCTCAGTACCACCCCGTTGGCCTGGAATTTGCATCCTTCGTCTCAAATATGACGCTGAACTGGGACGCCACCCGGGACGACTGCTCTGTAGCTCCAGCCGGTCAAGCTGCGATCTTGCCCGCAACCTACCAGCTTTGAACAACACATCGCAGTACTAATATCCTCGGACGGGAAGGATCATCACCAATCGTCGACCGTTGGGCCAAAAAAAGGTAGGGATATCGACTGGAAAATTAGCTGCTTCCCTTCTCTGCCTTTTTTATTTTGATTTTCCATTTGGAAATAATAATTGCGGAATGCAAACGTCCGGATAACCGAACGCTGACCGTTGGTCGAAAGAATGCAAGATGTCCGGCAGCGATGTCGAACACGTTTTTTGCTTGCCTAACAGCAGACCGCATCAATTCCGCCGCCAATCCTCGTCAAGCTCGAACGGAGCATATTATGACTCCCCTCTTGAAAGGCCATTAAATACACCCCCAACCGTCGGAGCGTCTTCTTCTTTGACTCGCGAGCCTTTGGTCGATACTTATCCTACTCACTCGGCTGCGGTAGCCTCTCAAACAAGCTGTGGCCCCGCCTCCGTTTCCTCAAAGGTTCAATTCGAAAACCACAACCAGAAAGATCGAGCATCGCCGGACCCAGACGAATTCTATCGCCCGCACCCCCCCGTCGTGGTTGAGGGAAGTGAAAGGGCATTGAATTCAAGTGATACCTCGATGATTGGAGAGGGTGGTCCCGCCACGGAAAATCGATCTACTTACGCGCAGCGTGCGCTTTCATTGACGGCGAAAACTGGGGAGCTACCGCGTGGAAGTATCGCGCAAAATCGTTCAGTGTCGGATTCATATTATAGGGGCCGTGGGTCAAATCACGTCAAAGGAGCAGGAGCCCCAACCTTGGCCGCGAGACCAAGACAGACATCGTTCAAGGATCTGGTGAATAAATTCAATCAGAACGTTGACCAAGTGCTCCCACTTCCAACGACATCAGCGTCTACCTCGAAGTCACACTCAAGAGCTCCGAGCCCGATCGGTCTCGTCGACAGCGTAGTGAGATCCAGGACACCGTCCCAATTGCGAGAATTGCGTGACCTCCCAAAAGCAAGGAGAGAGCCGCCATCCCGGTGGAAGTCAATCGATCGTTGCCAGGAAGATTTCTTGTCGAGTTCATTTCAGGCAGGCGTGGTCAACAACAGTGCCTTGGAAACTCTGGAGGCATCGTTACCTCGGCGTCCGTTCGGTGGATTGCTCACAGTTGATACAGGGGTTCCAAGATCAGGACTGGGAATTCCGGCACATTTGCGACGTCGAGGTTCTGAGGGAAGCATTCCTAGCCCGAATCCTGCACTCCTTGACAATCCGGACCGTTCAGCTGGGTTATCGCCTCTGACGCCAACCGCATGGTATCTGGGGCGGACGCCATTTCTTGAAGCTGTGAGCACTGGCGAGGGCAGCAGTAGTCATCGAAGAACGAGAAGTGATCTGTCTGGAGTTTTGCCTGTTGGTGTTGTGGCACAGTCGCCTGAGTCCCACATGGCGGTGCTGAGCCCCTTGCATCCAGGGCTGGGAGGGTCTCTAGAGAGCTCACATTCCAAGTCCCGCATACCTATATCGTCCACTCGTCTCCATACTGCTTCCGTTGCGGAGGACTGTTCCCAACTGAAAATCGACCCACTTTCTAGCAACCGCTTCGACGTGCAAGTTCCGCTGCCACCCAAAGGCATTAGCCGACTCCCCAAACCGTCCCCCAAATCCCCTCCTGCTGTCGCAGATGATGAGCGTACACCCATCGGGATGACATCGCCTCGAAGGCGAGAAATGACTTACGGCCGAGGTTCTCGTCGAGGAACGGAGAGGAACACCCTCCTTGAAGCATACATAGCCTCTCCTCCTCCCAAGAAATCACCTCCGCTGCGCAGTTCGAGACCTCGGCAGCCTGTTTCGCAAACAAATTCCACCACGCCGCGATCTCGAGTTGTGGAAACAGTGTCCAATTTTCAGAGACAGCTAAACCGCGAGCGGGATTTGCGGACCGCGCGGACGCGCGGACGTCGACTTCCAGAGCTGGGCAACGTCGACTTCGCGACCCGACGGCAGAGAATCCAGCAGGCATTCAATCGCACAGTGCAAGAGAATGAAAGAAAAGAGGAAGAAGCAGCGCAGCTTCGACTTCGTGCCAAAGCCCAAGAGAGCCAGCGGGCTCATGATGAGCCGACCGGTTCAGAGCAGAACTCCCAAGGGGACACCGGAATCGACCGTTCCCTGCCATCCGACCGTAACTCTGCCGTGAATGAGATCTCAACCGGGACCGATAATGAAGAAGAACATTTGACAGCGGATGACGGGGATTCACGGGGACCACCCCGGCTGCAGATTGACACCAATGTCGCTGCTCACGACACAGCAGCAAAAGACCCCAACGCCCATCCAATGACAATGGACTCCCCGACGTTGGGTCTTCCGGATATAAGTGCTGGAGAGCATGCGGTCCGCATCTCTTCCCCGGGAGCCGCCGACGGCCAGTCTACTTGCGCCGAAACACCAGTGTCGGTCGAAACTAATATCACTGCCCTTGACCCGGAGCCGCAAGCTAGTTTAAGTCGACAGAGCCTCCATGCCTCTCACCGAACATTACTGAGTCAAATAATGCAGATCCGGGAATCGAGTCCTGACACCTCGTCTTGTGATGAAGCGGATTACAGTTTTTCTGATACTGAGGATAGGGTATCAGTTCCAGTACTGCTGAGTGATGCCCCATGCTCTGAAGAATCGGTTGCCTCCAGCGATTGTCAAATACACCCTGATGCTTTCGTGCATTCGGACCAAGTTGGTCATGCAATTTTGAACAGGTGGAGTATAGGTTCCTGGTCATCTTCCCTTCACAACCAACAGTCCACGGACGACCATTGTGACGGCAGCGACGATGACCTCTCCCAGGTACAAGAGGTTGCACAGGACGGCGAAGTCGCTACCCAGTCCTGTTCCGCTTCGTCAAGTAATGCCCCCTCTGTCACTGGTCATCAACCCACAGCATACGTCTCAGCCAATAGGGAACCTGTCACCGAACAAAAACCCGAGCTCGTTTCTGAAAGAAGCGCTTATATGCATCCTAGCGCTCCCAACCTTGCGAGACTTGGTGGATGGGATTCGAAAAGGGTATCTAGGCTATATATTGAGGAGCTGGCTCGTGGCAGAGGCCATAGTCTTCCGATGCCTGCAATCCGCGCGTCTCCTGAGCCTCGGCTTGAGAGGCGCACGGATGGAAGAACAGATAGCTTGACTGATGACCCGGTTGTGATATCCAAGGCCGATGGTATCCCTCCTTCGGAACAAATTGGGCATACGGCAAGCCTGATATTTCGAGATGATTGGGAACATGCTTCTCCATCTATTGCAGACTGGATGCAAGCGGCCGTTACTGATGGAAGGGGCCCCCAAGAGCAAGATAGCAATGGTATTTCTGCGGGAGATAGTATATCAACTCCACGATTGGACACATCAGCTACAGATCGGACTGGGCACGAACAGGGCCGAGACACTGTGGGTCTCGCTATCAGAGTCCAACCACCGCAAGAGCTCAAATCAGGGGAGATTCAACAGACTTCGCTCCCCAGCTCTGATCCTGTCACCCATTCGGTCACCAACGAGGCGATCAATCAGTCGCAACAAAAGCCAGAGGCTGCACTGAGTATCCAGTCGATACAAACATCCTCTCGCTTCGCGCCGTCGCTGACTTTCGCACCCTTGGGCCAAGTTGAAAGTGCTGGAAGCAGCGAAGACTCCTCTCTTCGGAGGCTTCAACCTACACCCTCTTCCCACACTCTTGACTCATCAGCGACATCCCTGGTTCCTTCCACTACCGACCAGATCCGAGTCGATATTCGCAAATGCTCTCCATCCCCGGAGCAAAAACGCCTAAAGAAACGGAAGCATGTCATCAAAGAACTGGTTGATACTGAGTACAGTTTTGGAAGGGACATGAAGGTCGTTGACGATATCTACAAAGGGACTTCGAGTTCATGCTTGGATCTGTCACCCGAAGATGTCAAAATCCTATTCGGTAACTCAGATCAGATTGTGCAGTTTTCAATGAGCTTCCAGGATGCGCTTAAAGAGGCAGCAAGAAGCGTTTATGTTATGCCGAAATCTCAGCGATGGAGCAGTAAACGCAGCGCTCGTAACAATCATACCAACGCATCCAGGACAGACTCAGATGCTGCGAGTGGCGCAGGTGAAGTCTCTGATGCAGAGAAAGACAGATTAACCTTTATTGGCCAGGTTTTCCTGGCTCATATTGCTCCCATGGAAAAAGTGTACGCCGATTATTTGAAGAACCACGATGCCGCCAACAAGAAACTTCAAGTACTGCAACGAAACCCGAAAGTAGCCATTTGGCTGAAAGAATGTCGGGAATGGGCTTCAGATCTCACCACTGCTTGGGACCTAGACTCGCTACTTGTGAAGCCGGTGCAACGAATATTAAAGTACCCCTTACTCCTAAGCGAGATTCTGGATTCAACCCCGAGCGACCACCCGGACCGTCCATATCTGGTAAATGCTCTAGAAGAGGTCACTAACATCTCGGTCCGTATCAATGAAATGAAGAAACGAGCAGAGTTGGTCGGTCAGGTAGTTGGCCGCAAGAGGAAAGAATCAGATGTTAGAACCGGGCTGTCAAAGGCGTTTGGTCGTCGCACTGAGAAATTGAGGCAACAAGTTGGCCTTTCCGATTTGTTCGAAGACAAGCAGTACGATGCCCTATCGCAACGATTTGGGGATAGCTTCTTCCAGCTACAAGTTGTGATGCGTGATGTGGAGATGTACACACGGGAGGTCCAGAGCTCGTTAGATCGATTTAGCGAGTTTGTCGCCGCGATTGAAGGATTCGTCGATGTGGCTCAGTCGGGCTACTTGGACGTGGAGAGCAGGTGGCGTGACCTGAAGATGGCAGTGCGTGAAATAATGGCCACAGCTCTGCCTGAACATGTAAGTGGAGCAGACCCTTGACGTGTGGAAATGAGCTTTCAGGCTAATGCATGGTGCTCAGCTCGCCGTTGTCCGGAAAAGCGTCATTGACCCGATGGTTACGCTGCTCAAACTTTACGACGGGCCCCAGAGAGTGATGAAGAAACGGGACAAGCGGCTCTTGGACCATGCCCGATTCAAATCCATCAAGGACCGTGGTGACAAGCCCGACAAGAAAACAACAGAGCAAAGCGAACAATTCGTAGCTCTCAACGAGACCCTCAAGGACGAATTGCCCAAGCTCTACTCTCTGACTGCTAAGATGATGGAGGCATGCCTGAAAAACTTTGTGCACATACAGACTACGTGGTTCAATATCCTCCAAAGAAGATTAGCGGATCTCATCGATCCATTTCCCGACGATATCCAGCAGATCATCGGTGACTGGTCTGCAAACTTCACTCTGGCGGAGGCGCAGGTTTTGTCGCTTGGCATGTGCAACGGATCGCTGCTCGCTGATACTATCAATCTTGTCAACTTCAACACGCCTTCGACTGCACCTACCATCAGTTCGCCTCGACGGCCGTCAACTGTGAACAGCACTAGCACTCGCATAGGGTCTACCATGGGTGAATCACCTAAAGTCTCCCACGACTTCGGTAACGGCAGCAACATCTTCCAGTCTCCAAGCCTCGACGCTCAATCCCTGAGGTCGTACGGCCGCCATCGAGCCGATTCAGCTATCTCTGGTCGTGCTGCGCCAGAAAGCTCTGAAATCCCACGGAGTCAGATCCTGCAGCAGATCACAAACTCCTCATCTGCGTCCGTGGCCCCACAGCCCAAGCCAGAGTCCTTTCCCAGCCTGCCGAGGTTAAGTCTTGACTCGCCATTCCTCGTCGACATTATGGCCACTTCATCAAACGACCAGGTCTCTGAGAATCCACCAACCTCTCCTGGGGGTCGTTATTCGGGCTTTTTCTCGTCCGCTATGCCCATGTCGGACAATCCGCAGGACGACGCACCTGTGGAGGACACCGCGCCCAAGGAGCCGACGGTACTCTTCCTCGCTGCAAGCATCTATGAGTTCAATATCGATCGGGCGCGGCGTGAAGCCGGCTATCCTTATCTCACTTACGTCGCCGGAGAGATTTTTGATGTCATCGCTGAAAAGGGTGAGCTCTGGCTTGCCATAAACCAGGACGATGCAACCCACCAGGTCGGTTGGATCTGGAACAAACACTTTGCGAAGCTCTCCAGTTAGAAGTTGACTACGCGGGTAGAGTTATGCGTGTTATGATGTTATATGTTTGCATGACGCTTCCCAGCCGAATACTTGAATTGTTTTCTGTCAGAGTACCATGGCCTCGGATGACCTTTCATCTACGCTCTATATTCATATCACACTGAACTGCAACGGTGGATGAATTTGATGCATGGGCCAATGTTGGACTTATCCTTCATATTTGCTTTTTATTGTCTGTTTTATGGCGTGCATTTTCTGATATGACGGGACAAGGAAGATCTTTGGTTGCAATTACGCGGGTGGAAGAGGAAGCGACTGTTTGACCTACTGCCCTTACCATTCGGAAGGCAATATTTGAATGTACATTTAGATACCCCTGATTGAGCGACAAATGCATTAAATTCGAATGTCTATACCATTGTAATCCGTAGTCAGTAGGTCTTATCGAGATGCCTCCGAAACTCACCCACACATAGAGCGAGCCGCGGTGAGATCACGTGAAACACCAGCCACGCCGCAGCACCAGCCCCAAGTGACGTCTTGCACCGCGGCACCTGAAGTGGCTCATAGATCGCCGCAGGGGGCAAGCTGGAATCTTCCTGCCGACGACGAGGAGCTTGGGGGCGAAGGGGCTCCGTCAGTCATATCAATCAAGCCTTACTTCGAGGTTCAGCCAATTGTGAACACGACTATAACAGAAGCCTTTTCGTCAACGATCCCCCCTGCGCCGGTCCCGTTATCCATCTTCCCCACCCCCGCAAGGTCGTACGAGCCCCATTCTTGAAAGGAATCTCCGATTTCCGCTGCGTGCTTGTTCAGTTGGTGCTTGTCATGCAGAACTGGCGGACTGAACGAAAAGTTATTTAATTTTGATTTGTATATTCCTCATTTTATAGGTGCCTTTAAATCGATACGAGCGCTGTTTTTGATCGGTTCACACGAAATTCATCCCGTTCCGTATCGCCGAAGTTGGATTCCATTCGCGCTGTCACGGATTGGTATATCTTGAGCTCGGAGGATTGAGTGCAGGAGCCGGACACAATGCGGGACGGAGGCTTAGGAAAGCTGCACAAGAAGATGAGGCGGTTTGGTGATACTGTAAGTAGGGCAACCTACCGCGAGAGGCACTCGGCGGGACTGCGGAGATATTTGATCTGGAGATATGCTGAACTTTGACAGTTGAACCCGGAGGATGCGTATCTTAGTTGTGAGTGGTGTTCCCCTTCGCCATTGTCGCTTAGGACAAAGTGGATTTGACTAGGGCTGGAGTTGATAGACTATGATATACGGTGTACGGTATCCCCCGGGTTTATATCAGCGTGACTGGATGACCTGACAAATTGCAGTGACGAGGGAGGACATGCAGACTCTCAAGAATGACTGGCTTACGGATAATGTGGGTTGCATAGTGGCCGTAGAATGCATGCGGTAACTAACTTGCTCGCAGATTATTTCCTTCTGGGAGGAGTAAGTCAGGCGAGTGTTGTGATGGCTGTCGGAGAACTGATGAATTCAGATATCTGGAGAGGGAGTTCCTCGTTCAGTATAAGACGTCCAATATTGTGCTTCTTCGTCCCAGCATGTCTTTCATGCTATTACAGACGCCGAATCCTCTCTCATTGCGTGAGGCCTTACCCGACTTTTCTCGTACAACGCATGTCTTTCTTCCCATAAACGATTGCCGGAACGTGACTGAAGCCGAGGGTGGCTCGCACTGGTCGCTTCTGCTGATATCCATTGTTGACGGCGTGGCATTTCACTATGATTCGCTGCCTCCGGGGAACTACTGGGAGGCAAGAGCCGTGACGCAGAAATTTGGCACGCTTCTCAACCGGCCAATACGGTTTATTCATCTGGAAGATTCCCCCGTACAGGAAAATGGCAGCGACTGCGGCGTCTTTGTATGCCTGAGTATGCGGCACCTTCTTCTGAAACGGCTCTTAACCGCCAATGCAAATGAGAAAGTCAGCATGAGCTTGGGTGGGAGGAAGGTTGATGCTCGTGCTGGTAGGAAAGAGATCGCCAAGATTATCGAAGGTTTTCGAAAAGAAGGCGAGAGGCGTCGGTCGTAAGTAACTCAACTCATTCGTCTTCCCGAAGATGGCGGCCCGTACTGATGGGGAACAGTTCAAGTCTGAGTCCTATGGGGAAGAAGTCGTCAAGTCCTCCTCGGATCGAATGATGCTAGAGTCAGCAGTAACGCGGGCATGTTGCCCAAATCTTTGAATAATGAGGGCGCACCGGAGAACAGGCGCAGGTATAGGTCAACTCAAGGGGGCTGAGAAGTGGTGTTTATGATTCTGCATGCATACGATGATATGAATTTACCAACTATTGCAGTGCTTTGAATGGACGATACCTTTTGTTCTCTCCATCTCTTAAATTGGGACAAGTTTTCTCCTGCTCCTGCCTGCTTCTTAACGTCTCACACCTTCCTAGGCATTAGCGGACTAATGAGCAGGATATGTCTGGCTACGACACGCAAAATGACCGTTAGCTACATCCACATCTTTGCAGGTTTACAAGCTTCCGTCGGTTGGATACATGATGCTGGACTCCTTGATTATCTATGTTTTCCCATGCCATCCTATGTCAATCCATCTAATGTGCAACTAATTGTCGTCCCTCCATTGCCATGGCTGTCGATATGCGCCTCCCTCCTGCCGTCATTGCCTTCGTTGCTTCCTCGCGCCCTCTGTCAGTGCTGCTCTTTCCTCCTCGACTTCCTCTTGAGCTCCTTCCTCTACCTCTCTCTGCCACTCAAAACAGATCCTATAAAACACCTCTTCTCTCCTCCCTCCTCTTTTTCCTCTTTCTTCTTCTTCTCTCAACACCATATGGTCGTTTGATGCTAGTATCGTGATTTCACGCTCTGCGTTCGTCTCAACTTCATATCGTGTTTCTGCGTTTACTGCTCCTGCTACTGCTACCACCTTTTCTTGCTCCAGTTTTTCCCTTTTTCCTCTTTTCCCGCTCTTGACCAAATTGTTTTGACGGCCGTTGTTCGCAATGTCTCGTCTCAGCAAGCTTGGGTACAACCTCTCCTCATCCTCCGCCTCCTCCTTCTCCCCTTCCTCCCTCTCCTCTTCCTCCTTCTCCTCGTCCTTCTCCCGCTTCATGCATCGCCGGACTCCGACGGTTCCTTGCAAGTCTCTCGTGTCAGACTGTTCGCCCATCCGTTCTGCTGGCGTCTCTTCTTTCACCGAGGTACGTAGAGGTACATATCTTTCCACTCGGTCTTCCCGTGCAACTGCCCCTGCCCCTGCTCCTGCACGTTCCGCCCCTTCCCTTCCAGCTCCTTCTACTCGCTTCGTTCGTGCACCTGTTCCAGCTCGCACTGGGACAGGTGACACTCTCACCCGCAGCCTTCCTTCGCAGAGTCGAGGAGCTGCTCAACAGGACGGACCCCTTGACGTCGTCCATTCCATTATGGAGAGAGCTCGACTCCGCTCTCAAGCCCTTCGTTCCCGCTATGGTCACCCAGAGAGACCGCGAGTTGACCCTAGAACCCAACCTCGAGTCGAACCCTCTTCCACTTCTTTTGTTCCGACCACCCGTCCCACCCGTTTCACCGAGCGCATCCGCATTCTCGCCGAAGAAGCAGCCGCTAGTTCTGCCAACCGCCGCGCCACTCTTTCGAAACTCGCTGCCTTCGACGAAGTTGTGGCCCGCGTCAGAGCACGAAAACAGTCGACGCCTTCCGCTCCTCCCATTGACGCCACTCGTCCTGTCACTCGCGCGGAAAGAGTCCGTCCCTTTGCTTCTTCTATCAACACTACTCGTCCTATCACTCGTCCTGTCACTAGCTCAGAACGAGTCCGTCCCTCCGCTTCTTCAGTCTTCGACCGCATCTCCGACCTTCGCGCCGCCCAGGCCGAGCGACGCCGTTGGATCGACGAGATGATCGCTCAGCAAAAAGAACGTGCTTTGACTCAGGCCACTACTTCCGCCGCCATCGAGCAATTCCGAGCCAAGCATCAGGCACGACTCGCCAACCGATCCCGCGAGGGACACCTGACGTCACCTCACCGGGCCCCGACCAACAGCACCCGAAATACGGCGATTCCAGCAGCAGACCCGGTACGTACGCGACGCTCGACTCCGCCAGCCGACCGACTCCGCAAGGATAAGCCAGCGAAGCGCGTTCGTTTCGGAGATGTTACTGTACAGCCTGTATCTCGCTGGATCGTCAAGTCGAAGCACGTGCACAAACGTAGTTCCTAGCGGCCACCGGGCCACTTCCACTACTTTTGCTCAACCCGTGGGAGTCTGATGAGGATGGCTGGTTTCTCGAGATAATGCTCGTTTCTACTGTGACACCGTATTGTCTATTCGTTCAGCTCCGTTCCTTCACACAGTTGTCTGCTGGCTCTGGTCTTCGATGGGGAAGTCCAACCAGGTACTGCTGATGAGTTTATAGATCGCTGGCGTACTCCGTCCTGTTGAGGTATTGATGGTGCTACTGCTATGGCCTTAAGGTGACTCGAGCGTCTCTTGACATGGTCGAAGCTGGATTGACTGGAATTATAGGACATTCTGTGTGGTAATGACGCACCCCGCCAGAAGCGCCAAGGGCGGCGCTCCGCCCCGCCGAGTCAATGCCGAGACCGACTCCGAAGACTGTGTACGCCTCCGGAGGCTTGTGGTGGCGCAAAAGTGTAGAGTTGGTGGTGAGTTGCTCTCCTTTTGTTTGTGCTACTGACACTGATACGATCTAGTGATCGGTGGCCACTCTTGAAAGACTGTATTGCAGCCGAATTCCGATTTGACTTCAGGTGAGTGCTCTTCTATTGACACAAGCCGCGCTTCTTGAGTTGGCTGACTTGGATTGAAGCGTTAGAGACCCGCGGCCAATCGAGAGAGTCTTCAGGACGCTGGGGGAGGATGGTGGCTTGTGTTGTTGGAACACATGGTAAGCTCCGATTTTGGTCGCGGCTTCACTGGCAACTGCTGAGATCTCCTAGCGTGTTAACGATCCCGTGGTTCGCCGGAAATTGGACGTATGAGGAATTCCGACAGATACTGGGTAAGCTTGGTGTCCTCTGTTGTTGTGTTATTCGCACTGACTGAGATGATCTAGGGCGGACGAATTGGAGGTGTGCGCTGGCTGAGGTTGTTGGCAAGCATCCGAAGCAAGATTCGTGAGTCAAGCTTTCGCTTGGTCGTTTCTCAAAGCCGTTGCTAACGTACCACAGCAAGTACTATGATCATCAGTTGCCAGGTGTTTGGACGATGCGGGTTTGGTGCGTTAAGGTGGATGGATTCTGTGTGTTCGGGTTGTCCGTCTTGTTGTCTTTCTGTTTGTTGTTTTGCGCTTTGCACGTACGGACTGATGGTTTCCATACATATCTCTTTTTCCAGTCCGCTTCGATCCATTGCTTTTGCTGCTCTCGTTAAGCTTTGACAATGCTATCTTTCACTTTTTCGCTCCACATACTCATCAATGCCTATCAGAGAGATTCGGTGCTTGCCTTTCCTAGACTCGGGTATAAGACTCTGTAGCATTTATTTCGTTGCCCTCGACCTTGAAAAGGCACACGCATGCAGGTCTGGTGGACATATCCAAGCACAAATTGCGGCAGATGAAGACTGTGGGGCCCTGACGGCAGTTGTGGCAGTCTCTCAACTCCGTACACTGCTGGGCAAACAGCTTTGAGTCATATGCGTCCCTATTGTTCATCTACGTATCAGAGGTAGAACAATGATTGGGGTGTCTATATGCAACCTAGACTGGTGTAAGGGGTACATAGCTGCATACGCTGCATGCACGGCGTGCATCTGCATCTGCATATCTCTACATATCAGATGGAGGATGTCAGGACCTACTCTTGATAATCAGGTAATCAAAGCTTTATATCTACTGGTGACATAGTTGCAGATCAAAAGAAGCAAAGACGCTCTGATTTTCCTTTCGATATTGACACTTTTCTGCTTATCTGTTTACTTTGGTCCAGATCAGGAAGGAATGGACTTGTCTATTGTGGCTATCAACTATGTGAATTGTATGCAATTCGTCTCATCGGTCTCATACTGTTATGATGCAAGCGTTCGATATATCGACAAAGTCCTGATGGTTGATGCCATTCAATACTTGGCTCTTATAAGGCAGGTATGGATGAGAGGCGTCCAGCCTCAGTCGCAGTGACTCTTCCACTGCCATTTCCGAGTCTGCTTTCATGGTCGTTGGCAGACAGAACAATAGATAGCTGAGTAAAGACGCGCATTGGAGCTTGAGATGATTGCGGTTTATCGATCTCAAGGGAAAATTAGAAAGAGGATATAATGTTATGATTCGCAAGGCCAGACTGCCTGAATAGAAGAGAAAAGAGGCAGTGGAGAGAACAACGCCGGGAACGCCAGCTCATGGATGCAGACACAGCAGGCGGAGACAAGGTGATTCAAGACTGCAGGATATCGAAGACGAATGAAGACCAGTAGAAAGATATAGAAATGTCGCCAGAATCAATGTGAGAGAACCGACATGCTGACAGCCCAAAGTCTATACGAAAAAAATGTCAAGTGACGAAGCGATGCCTGAAGAGACGTGCGAAGAAGAACCGGAACCAGCACAAGCACAAGGCTAAAATGGGTATGTGACGCCAATCATCAAATTAGAGCAGGTCGGTCATTGATACATATCCGCGCGCATTAGACCAGTAAACCTTATTACTATAGCATTGCAAGGTCAAAGGTAACCAGCTGACAGGCCATATTTAAGCTATGGCTGTTATGGGGGCGTAGGCGTCTGGCGGACCTCTGGCTGGTCGGCTCGACGCTTCTCGCGGGATCGCATATACATCCCGTCCGATTGGGAATCGGTGGCCGTGGGTGGTAGATCCATCGGCCGAGGCACTGCTGGATTCTGTGCCTGCTGTTGTTGCTGCTGGGCTATAATTTCTCGAGCGTAGAATTCCACCAGCATCGTACCGTACGCTTCGAGCTCTTCAACGGAGATCGAGAGGCGGAAATCGTTTAGGAGGAGAAATTGAAGTTCGAGATGGTTTAATTCGACTAGGGGGAGGCCGCCGACCTAAACGAAGTTCAGCGAATTTTTTTTTTTCCTTTTTGCCTCAGTTCAAGGGTAGCGAACCTTTGCGTATCGAGAATTAGTATAAAAAACATCAGAGAAGAATTTACTGGCACAAGTTACACCCGCGATGACCAGCCGATGAATGTTAAAACTGTCGACGACGAAAAAATGGGAGAGGCTCTCATTCTCGTCCTGAGGGTAAAGGGAAGGTGAAATGGAGGATGGACTCTTTGGATCCTGCGCTCGCATCCCGGTCGATGATGGCGGAGTGACCATTGGGGATGCTTGCGTATGATGACCGATCGACGAATCAGAAAATCTCGACCTGGATGGGTCAGTGTGCACGGTTGCTCCACGGTCGCAGCGGCGCTGCAGGCGCTCAAGTTGGCCCTTATTCACCAACTCCGTCATGCGATCGAAATATACCAACAGGCTGAGAAACACTTCGTAGGTGGTGGGACAGTATTTGTGGATACGCGTTAGGTAACTGAGAATAGTGATACTCGGTACGTTTTTGCCATGAAAGGCAAGTACGCTGGTAGCTTGTGGGCTGAGGTTGGCGGTGCTCTCAGGTGGCGGAATATGTCGATGGACATGCTCGTGGTGTAGGTCGTTGGTGGTGGTGATTTTTGTCAGGAGCCCCGCAACCATCTCAATGATATCCGTGACCGGCATGGAACTGATTTCATACTGGCGCTCTTGGTACCAAGACCCGGGCGTCTGGCTTCTCTGCGACTGCGCCAAAAACTCTTCGCTAGCGAAGCTCTGGATATGAGACAGGTCACGAACTTTGATGCGACTCGGCGAACTGGCCTCGGAGCCTCCAAGAGAGCGTAGCGACTGAAATGTGGGCCTCAACCGCGGCGACGCGGGTGATGAGTGACTATACGAAGCGACCAGTGTCGGCTCCGTGGCTGTCTGGCTGGCATGTCCGAATCGGTTGGAGGTGTATGAAGTCGACTGGAAGGAAGCTTCGGGATGGTGTGCGAGGTTGGAGGTGGTCGAGCTCATTGAGACCGAATGGGGAGGGGTGTGGGTTGGCCCTGGGGTAGTTGAAGACGCCCGGGTGGAAGGAAGGGAGTTGATGTGAGATTGACGGGAGATGTAGGCCGGCACATCATATGGTGGTGGGTGGGAGTGCAGGCGAGCAGAGCCAGCGGCAGACGTTGATGGCGGGGCCGTGGACGAGGTGGGGGTAGTGGTCGCGGACGTAGACCTGGAGCTTCCGGTCTCCAGCTGTGACGACGGATGGTGAGATGAGGTCCGATAAACAGATTCCGATGGATTGATGGAGCCTCCCAGCATCGTGTAGGAGCTATCAATTCGATCCGACCGCGGTTGATTCAGAACGACCGATCCCATGTCAAGCCGAGGAGAAAATAGAGGGCGAGTTTGAGAAATCGCCCGCGTAACGGCGAATCCTAGAGCAACAGTGGCACAACAACAATCAGCCTCAAGAAAGCATTGAGGACAAGCGAAGTGGGGAACATAAGGGAATCAAGTCTCGATCGCAAGACTCGGAGATAGAGGGCCTGATGGGCTAAGGAGCAAAGAGGGGTTGATTACTATTCTATTATGAACAAGAAATTCAGGAAACGTTAGAAGAGCCTGGACCTGGAGACTGCAGTTTTACCCGCAATTATTATTGAAAGGTCGCAGAGCACGGTAGGCAATGGACCCGACCCAGGCTGGAAAAGGGATCACAGAGGATAAAAGGGAGCTTGATGATCCATGGTGAAGATGAGGTTCCAAGGAAAAAGCAAAGGACGGAAAACAAACTGAAGAAAAAGAGAGAGACCAGAGAAGGATGGAATGAAGGATGGGAGAGGAAAGGAATGGGGCGGAGGATGAAATCAGGAGAGGTACAGTCAAGTCAGTCAGTCAGTTGTGGCGAAGGCGATAGACGACTACAGGATGATGATGGAGACGTCTTGACAACAACAGGGAAATCTGAAGGATGGGGGGTTCCACAATCACCAAGTGATGATGTTGACGATGATGAATAACTACTAACTATCTACCTATGCTGACGATAAACCAGAAAAAGAAAATAGTAATGATTGTGATGTATGGGATTCAGTCGGTCAACTCCATCAATATGACTGACTGATATCTACCTAGCCACGGAATCTACCTCTCTACATACAATCTTAAAGCTTCAATACTAGTTAATGATATACTCAGTACATCCTTGGTAAGGAGTTGAGCGACAATTACATCTACCTTAAGTTGTTTTACCAGAGAACTCCGTACCCCAGGTAACAATAGTACCACGACTATCATGATGATCCTTAGTTATTGGATATTGCTGACTATTTCCTCCTCGTTCTCTGGCGATAAGATGATGTTCTCCGCAGTACTAGCGACCACTCTTCATCCCTCAAGAAGATACACTTCTCAACAGATTTGGCGACTTACTTTATGTCCATGACCAGAAAGAGACACGTACTCGGATACTCCAAGCATCCGGACCGGAATTCAAAGCGACTAAGTACTACGGGATAGTTACTACCTAGCACTGACAATGATACCTACCTTAAGGTCAAGTTTGTCGCCCAATAGGGGGGCTCCAGCGGACGAATGACAGGACTCTGACGGTGCAGGTGTTGAGGGGATTCGCAATGATTCGGGTTCGCAAAGGATCTGGCCTAGTACGGAGTATGACTGGTTCATCGACTAAAGTTCTCCTGTTATGATCCTTGGTCCACCGACATATGGAGTATTTACATTGCATAATAACGATTGTTGATGCTGAGTGATCCAGGTCGTTGATTTAATTATTCATTACTCCGTATTCTGTTTGACACAACTCAAGCTGGAACTGAGCAATCGCATCACTGGAAAGAGCAATGTTCTCCTAGTCACAGCATCATTGGTTTCTCTTCTCACCGAGAATCCCCGCGATCATGATACGTATGAAACGCGCTACGGAGTTCCTATTGTTATTATTATCGAACTTGAGGAGCTCGACGACAGGGGGCTGAGATTGTAGGTAGGGTCTTTATTATTATCAGGTCCATCTAAATCCCGCAAACCGTCACTTGCAGATGTCTGGCTCATACTCCGCTACACCACTTTGCTTGAATGTGAAGAATCCCTCTATCCTGGTGTTGCCTCTGGACAAGGCAATTGTCCGTCCTTGCGGCCGGAGAGGGACTGCGCCAGGAGATATTGATGCAGATGAGCACATTTTTTAAGTGGTCAACATCATTCAAAACAAATCATCCCGTATATGATTGCACTTATGATCTGTTGGTTAAGCCGGGTCCAGTGTACTCCGTGTCTGGCAAATACAAATGTCTCTCAGCTCCCCTGGACGTCAGCACCACCAATCGAATCACACCTCCGGAGCTGCCATCCCACTTGATCGCCTCCTGCAAGGCGTCACGCACGAATTTGATGCCTTCTTCTTCCGTCATGTTCTCCTTCCAGTGAGCATCGCAATAACCGTAGATATAAGTTGATCCCGAACCGCCAATGGCGTAGGATTGCTTGTGTAGAGACCCGCCTAGAGGTATCGAGTACACCTGACCGCCATGGCGTGGGTCGTATCCCGCTATGATGATACCAGCACTACCGTCAAACCCCGTCAGTAAGTTTCTGCTTCTCCTTCAGCAAGCTCGGGGAGGTTATCAACCTTAGCATATCCTTGTTCTCATAGCACAACTCCTGGAATAGAGCCGCGGCCACCTGGGTGCTGGGAGGCTCATTGTTCACGATGCCGTACATGTTGAGATGATAGGAGACAATGTCCGCAACAGCCTGTGTGTCCGCCGCAGATCCCGATCGACAGCACCAGATGGTATCGTGGACCTGTGTGAGTTTGTCGGTGACTCGGTTGGCGATGTAAGCTCCAGTAGTTGTCCGGCTATCTGCTCCCAGAATAACACCGTCCTTGAAGTTGATAGCCATACTATATGTAATCAATATACCAGCCAAAATCTGCAATGTGAAATCAGCTCACTCACATCGAGGTACCTAGGCTGTAAAGGCACGGTGGTTAGCAGTTTGTTAATGAGGACTTGTATGAGCAGGAGTTGAAAGACGTACTTGACCTCTCCGGTCTTCAAGTGGTTCATGTCAATGTGAATTCCATCTAAGTACACCATCAGAAATTACTCTAATCCATTGTCACTCGTTGACAAACGCCTGACTTACCTTCCCCAAGCATCCCTGTGACGCCGTGGCCGACCATTGTGTCTGTGGTAGCTGGAGGCTGACGGAAATTCTCGCTTGACAAAATGTATACTGTCGGAATGAGATGAACAGAAAGGTTGCAAACCGCCCAACAAGCTAAAAAATGGGAAAGGCCGGTTGATGAAGATTGTGGATGCTGGTTGATTGATAGTAGGTAGTCCGATGATGATAGCTCTGACGGAGCTTCCAACAGGCAGAGCGCGTTACGTTGTCAGCTCGAGCTGATTCTGCCGGGCGGTGTAGTGGATACTTTTTCCTATTGGCCTGGCGGGGGAAAGCATTCTCCCCGCATATAAAGTACTAACAATTCGAACTCCAGCCATCGATGCTACCATAATATAACCTGTTTCATACTAAACCAGATTGCTAGTCCTCTAGGCAGATCTCATCCGGCTCATCGCTATTTCCTTGTTTATGATGACTTATCATTGATGTGATCATCCATCCACATGATTGACTCTCGAAAGACAAAACCATATCATCAGTATACTCTCTCATTCATTCTGCTTATCTAGTCTTACATCCGTCGCAATGTCCGAGTCTCCTCCGCCCCCGCCGTCATGGAGCATCGCTGCCATGGCTAACAATGCCGTTCATTTTCTTCGATTACCGGTTTTGGCATCTTCCGGTCTCGCCGTTGTTGCCAGTGGTCTCTTATACTTTAAGCAAAAGTGCGCCCTTACCATTAGATAGACAATATTCCGTCGCTTGTATGGCCGGAAACTGATCGCGTGTCCAGTGAGCTGATCTACCCTCGCAATGTCCCCACCGATGCCCGCACCAATGTTCCCAGTCCGCGACAATTCGGCATCAGCGACTATGAGGATCTCCAAATTCCCACGCCGGACGGAGAGTCGTTACATGCCTTCTTCATCCGTCCCGCAAACAAGCAACATGCTCGGAACATAACTGTGTTGATGTTTCACGGGAATGCGGGCAATATTGGCCACCGTGTCCCTATCGCCAAGGTGCTCCAAGAGATTCTGGGCTGCAATGTGTTGATGTTGGAGTACCGCGGCTATGGTCTTTCGACAGGTGTTCCAGATGAGGCAGGACTTAAGATCGATGCGCAAACCGGCTTTGACTACTTACGAGAACGGGCAGAGACGAGGAACACGACGATTATTGTGTACGGGCAAAGCCTGGGTGGTGCAGTAGCCATTAATCTGGTTGCTGAGAACCAAGACAGTGGTGATGTTGGCGGTTTAATACTGGAGAATACATTTTTAAGTATCCGCAAGTTAATCCCGACGTAAGTACGCCACTCTCTTGGGTTGATATTCGAGTGGTCATACTCACATGAACAGCGTCTTTCCTCCCGCCCGGTATCTCGCTCGACTGTGTCATCAGCATTGGGCGAGCGAGGAGGTTATGCCGAAGATCAGAGATGTACCGATTCTTTTCCTGAGTGGGTTAAAGGATGAGTTGGTTCCGTAAGTTCATGTCTGCCTTCCTATGAATAAGACACTAACCATTAATACGGTTCAGCCCCTCAAACATGACACAGCTCTTCGCAGTTTGCAAATCAAGCTGCAAGGTCTGGCGCACCCTTCCAAACGGCGGCCACAATGATACCGTCGCCGAATCAGGCTACTTTGAGCATATCCATGACTTTGTCATGGAGGAAGTGATACGAAAGCAATAGAACAGGCTCATCGCTGACTGGTCTAATCGATCCAAAATCCGCTGCATATAAGACGCACTGTTGTGTGCATTATCGATACCCCTATTCGACACTGAATTGCATGAACTCTATGAGTTTGGCTAGCTGTTTGACACTACGACACACGAGGGTTTAATGTGTCCTCTGCTGTCCGAAGGGTGCATCATATTGACGCGCGCCTTCTCTTCACCACTATCCTCTTCTCTCTGAAAGTTCACCTTCCCTACTCGACTCATACTCTGTGACCGGAGTGGACCATACCTCGTGCCCATACTACGTATTTCCTGGCGGCTTGGCTTCGCTTTGTTCTGACGATATCAGACTGTTTTAATGTTTTTTACTCACGGCGTTGTCCTCTTAGCTTTATCGATTCCCTTTTTCTTCCTCCTGTTCCAAGGTGTATGAGGTGAATGTTTGGATGGCTGTCTGAATTAGATTCGATTTATGATTAGCATATGGATCGCTAGATTCTGTAAGCAATTACTATTGCGTATCATTTGACCAGGTAGTTCAACAATTTTCTAGCTCTGAGCTCAATTTACAATGTCACCAATTCTTTCTCTCATTGATGACGCAAGTCGTCTTGCGAGGCCGATTCTAATCTATGAATGTACAAAAAAGCATATAATACAACTTCAAACGAAGCCTCTACAGCCTCTCCGCCTCCTCCATCAACTCCTCCATCTTGAACCCCTCCACATCACCACGAGTAAACATGCGCACTAGCTCCCCCTTCCGCCCACTCGCCTGGCCCTCAAAATCATAAAACCGCTGCAAACAGCTCACCAACCAGCTCGCCTCGGTCGTCGAGATCCCGGAATCCGGCATGACCTGCCCATGCATCAGCACCAATCCCTTCTCATCCGCCAGATCCAGGTGGTGCGTGATCGTCGTGTGCGGCTGCGCAAACGCCCCGTGCAGCTTGTACGCGGCCAGCTGGGTGAAGATCACCGTGGAGGTGTGGTTGTTCGCCGACGAGCCCGAGGGCGCGGGGGAGGCAGGCGGGTGGAACGCCCACTGCAGGAAGTGAATGTCTGCGCCGACGGCGTTGGGGTCCGCGGTGGAGCCGTCTTCGGCGGGTGCTTGCTCGGTTGAGGAGCGGGGGAGAGGGAGGATGAATTGTGGGTTGTGGCGGGCGGCGGAGGCGATGCGCTGGTAGGTTTCTAGAGGGATACAGGCGCAGATCGAGTTGGGATTGTTGGCGTGGCGGAGGCGCCAGAGGGCTTCTATTTCCTTCTGGGGGAGGGCGAGGACTTTCTCGACGTCGAGATAGGAGCTGAGCGGCTTGATTCCTGTTGAGGAGCCTGAGACGGAGGCTGCGGCGGCGGCGGCATTGGGAGATGGCGGTGGTGTAGGAGGGGGTGGTGGATGGGCGGCTGTGAAAGACTTCGGGGACGAGGGAGGTGTGGTTGGTTCTGGGGTAAGAGGCGTGGCTGCGTTGCGGCGAAGGCCTTGGATCTTGTCCTTGTAGGCTTCCTTGAGTGACTCTACTGAGCCATGACCTTCTCTATAGGCGCAATGTCAGCGACCACTCAGGAAGATCTTAAAGTCACGAAACATTGGCATATCACATACTCTTTGGCCTTCCTGTCCAGCTTCGACTTGTATCTGTCCAGGACGTGATTTGGATCGTGATGCGTGGCAAGGAAGCGCACGTCATGCACCTGGGCCCATCGTCGTTGAGGCGTGCGTGCAAGGGACGATCTACCCCGGAGTAGCAACTGAAATGCAGAAGGTCTAATTGACGACGCCATCCTTTGCAAAATGCTCGATGCGGTGCGGAGGAGACTATGAGAGATTGCGGAAGGTCGAAGTATAGACACAAAAAATTGATTATATAATCATCGCAATCATCGGTCACCGAGCGATCGCCGAGCAGTTACTGAGCCCTAACACAATGAATCACGGTCTCTTCGTAACTTTATGCAACTCTATCTAGATTCAGATTTTATTGCATGTACAACTACCTGATCAGAGTTATATGCGTTATGTACAAGCGACTAGACAATCATACTCTCCGGAGGTCCCAAGTAGCTTGGCCTGACTCCTCCAAGGTTGACAACGATCTTTTGAAACACGACTCCGGGCTCTATGGCCCAAAGCTTTAGTATGTTCTTTCTACCGCCGCCTTGAATTGCATGACTGGTAGTATTGGTCCACACCGCGTTACGGACGGTAGTACCCCAATTGGATGGCAAGGATCCCAAGGGAGTTGAGGGAACAAACTGCACCACTTGAGGGTCAGCATCGTTGATGGAAATGGCGTATTTGAGGGGACGGGAATGATCGGTATTGAGCGAGGGTCCCAAGTAAACAGTAGCTTTGACAGTGGACACATTGGAAAACAAGTACATATCGTACTCGAGTCGTGGAGAGGATGGAGGCTGCTGTGTTTCAATCGTGACAGGCAACAACGTTACTCCCGACAGCGTATGGCCATATCTTGGAATGACGGCGTACGAGACATCAGCTGACGACGTGTTACGGGTGGCGTGTTCAGCTTCGATGCTGACTGTGCCATCCGATTCCACAAAGCCGTGAAAATCCTCTGGGACTGACGTCTTGTTGACAGGAAGTTGGACTGTGGGCATTCCAAAGTTGCCGTAGTCATCGGATGAGATGGTGACATTGATTAAGGCCATGTGAGATCCGGAGGGCACCTTTTCCCAGTCGATGGAGAGCTGAATCCTGGCATCTGTGTTATTTCCAGATGCTGAGATTTTGCCGGACGAGGGGGTCGCCTTGACCCAGGAATCATATGGCGATACTGTAAAGGTGAAATCGTGTGTTCCGCGTGAGTAAACGTCAATCCAGCGGGTGCTTGGCCCGTAAGGATCCATCGGTGGCAGAGTCAGAGAATTAGACGATAACGAATGCCAGACGTCGTCACCCGGTACCGACGCATTGCTTGCTTCGACAGACACACCCATGCTTCCTGCTAGACTTTCCTCAAGTACTTGCGTATAGGCCAGAGGGGGTAATGTGTTCCTCATCGGCTGCTGCCTGTTGGCCCCTGATGAGTACCAAATCAAAGATGTACAGAGACGAATTAGACATACCAGTAATCATAACCAAGATGTGTCTGGTCCATTATATGATTCCACTTGCCATCAAGAAGTTTGTGGTACCTCTCCGTCAAAGCGTGGTCATCTTTGAAGAGCTTCAGGGCTTGATCTGCCAAACTGTTGGCACTCGTACGGCGCTGGCCTGCGTACAGATTGTTTCTTGCCGCTGTGATATGGATATCTGTGACAATTTGGCCAGCCATGCAAGGCTGCATAACGAGCTCGAAGAACGCAGGACGGACTGAATTTTTCAACTTCTGGTATACGCTCTGAGCATCTTTTACGAGCACCCGCCACTCCTCCTGAACTCGGTCCGCTTCGTTATAGTTGATCACGCTAAACGTTGAGCTGTCAATGAGCTCATACTTTCTCCGCGCAGCATACATTCCGTAGCGATCCATTATATCAGCAACTTTGCTGGACACTTGTGTTCCAAATTCTCGGGTAGCCCAGTGATTGAGCCACGTAAGAGTGCTATCAGGCGAGGACCACAATGGTGTATTGTATGCAAGGTCAAGGAAATGGTTCAGGGGAAGTTCCTGATTCCATGTTAGATTTCAAACAATCAAGTCCGGCGGCCGGCTTGGTACTCACCACTCCCTTGAGGTCTCCAATATTCACAATCCAGATCTGCCTTGCCTGGCGCTCGTATGCAAGATGCATCTGTTCCCAGGTTTTCTGGAGGGAAATCGTATTGATCCACTTGTAGTCACGGGGATCGCCGACGTAGTCAAAATGGTAGTACACTCCTGCACCACCAGACCTAGCCGTCTCATTGCCAACCGGCAGCCGCTGGATATTTCCCCAGTTGTCATCTGCCCAGAGAAGAGTAACGTCATCCGGAGCACGCAGTCCTTCCTCATAGAACTGGCCAACCTCCTTGTACAAACACCACATCTGTGGGACGGATGAGATGTTTGTCATGTTGAGGACGTCTGACAGGATCTGCTGCTGCGTATTCACAATATCTCCCAGTGATTGCTTTGTATTGGTTGGATTCGCAGTATCATGTTTTCCTCTCATTCCAAGGGTCCAGAGCACTTCCCAGTCCTTGCTTCTGATGGCGCCCTCCTCGAAGAACTGGGTGATGTTCTTTTTGTTTGAGGTCCAATCCCACTCGCCCTCCAGAAACAGCGACTGTTCCTTTGTCGCTCGCATCATGGGTTCTGTGTGGCTGGTGCCCATGACGATTCCATACTCATCTGCTGTGGGACCATTGCGTGGGTCGTCGGGATAGAATGCATTGTCCCACATTGCCGGCCATAGATAGTTCGCACGCAGTCTGAGAAGAAGCTCAAAAACACGGGAGTAGAAGTCGGCATTGAAACCAGGGCCGTATCTCGCAGGAGGGTAGTTTTCATTAATCCAGTTCGTCAGAGCCGGTTGCTCATCATTGATAAAGATGCCCCGATATTTGACAGACGGAGGTCCCTGGATCTTCTTCTTTTTCAGCGCATATACCTCTTTGTGTTGGGCAGGCGCGACGTCGGCGAACCAATACCAGGGAGAAACCCCGATCTGCTCGGAAATATCGTAAAGGCCGTAGATGACTCCTCGTTTGTCACTGCCAGAGATGACCAGCGCGTTCGGGATTCCCTCAAGAGGATTACTAACAACCTCAGTCTGAAATGCCTCCCATTTTCCTTTCGTCTGATTGACATCAATCTTGCCCCGTTTGGCAAGAGAATCGATGAGTCGGGACTTGCCAATTGTTCCCGCAATGATCACTCCTCTGTTACCGCGAACGGAAGATTGATCATGAAGAGTTGTGCCATTGATTAGGCCTGTCGAAAAATTTGTACCGGTCACTCGTCCGAAGTCGACAGCGAGGTCACCAGCCGCACGGATGACACCAGGCCAGTCGTCACCGTCAAGCAGAATCACACCCGCAGCAGTATTCTTCCCCGCTAACTGGTAGGCTCCCTTGGTTTGGTCAAAGGCGACGATGGGCTCCTGTCCAAGAGCGTGTGCAGCTCCGACCACGCAGCTGACAGTCAGAAGTACTGACAGTAGCATTGCTTCGCAAGAGTCAGAGGTCCGGTTACAGTGGTGGAGGTATTCCTATTCACGAGAGAATCCTGAGCAGGCATCTCTAGGGTTAAATACCCAACATCCGAGCGTTTAGCGGGATTGGGCCCGGCATGGATGCCAGGATATTAACCAGGGAAGGCCGCAGGATGAACCTTTCATATTGTCAACTGCCTATTAGGCAAGCTGCCAAGCTGGAGCCATTGCAGATGCGGAAATATCCCCCTCTGCAGGCATGGTCCACGTCCTGGTGTCCGCACTCCACATAACCCTGGGGAAGATATTATTAGGCTAAATAGGCAAGTATAGCACAATCCGGCGGATCAAGGTCAAGGATAAAAACACGAGGCACCAGTTCAGGAAAGGACTATGTTAGACAATGTCACAATGGTGACCATTAAAGCCGCGGATAAAATTATTCCGCCCAGATTTCAACAAGCCTAAACTCAAGGTTCGAAGTTTAAATGGCCCTTGAAATTACCCAAATTGAACAGACGTCGGATTCCATCAGTCTAAGGACTCAAGGAGGTCGATGCCGCTAATGGAACCCCACAATCAGCCATTCTGGAGACGCAGAGACGGGCACGGAGTATGGTGATGGGTGAATAGATAATCATCAGGGAGCCATGTAAAGCTCAAAATTGACCATCGTCCAGATCAGGGGTAAATAAGCATGCAAAAAGGTACAGACGACGAAATGAGACCACGAACATAATAATATTCTTCCGACTGCTGGATGAGGTTTCTCCGCACACGACATCATTATCCTTATCAGACTGATAGCTCAGGCAGCTAGGTCATGTGACGTTTTTGGTGCGGAGTAAGGCCCAACGGCATGCATAAGTTTACATAATTACTAAGCTTATCAATGGTAACTATGCATTCCACGTGGACAAAGGAATCATGAAGGCAGGCGATATTGTCGAATGATGCTCCCGACCACTTCAACTTCTCCGTCTTCATTCCTCGATTCAATTTACGTCTTTCTAGAGTATAACTCTTCGATTCACTCTTTCGAACTACTTTTGACATTGGCGTACACTGGATAGGTCGCTGAGCGACTAAGCTCTCTTTCAATCGCCAATCATTGTTATCTCATATTCGAACCTCTGCTTATCTAGACAGCTCTTTGAACCGACCATGGCCAACCGCCAGATAACCAGACGTATTCTGATCACCTCAGCAATAGCAGTGTTTGTTTTATTCGTCCTCTTCATTCGACCCCAAGGGCCGCCGAGTCCCGCGCTCCGCGCTCCCGGTCACATCGATAAATTTGCGCCGGCCGTGACAGTCAACGATGATCTGCTGAAGGGGGAGGTGATCATGCCCCGGCTGGGAAATGAGACTGCAAAGTACGCGAACCTTTCGTTTTGGGAGTGAAACACGTACTGAACCAGACTGGGGAACATCAGAGCAGAGTTGGGTCGTGCGACCTGGAAATATTTCCATACCATGCTGGCTCGGTATCCAGAAGAACCGACGGAAGAGCAACAGGAAACATTACGCTCATTTATCCTTCTCTTTGCGCGACTTTATCCTTGGTGCGTTTATCGTTGTGGACCTAACGAAACACCTTTCAGAAGCTGACTCGTGGACTAGCGGTGAATGCGCCTCTCACTTTCAAGGTCACCTGAAGAAATACCCGCCACAAGTGTCTTCAA